ACCCCCAGGCCCCTGAGGCTACTCCTACAACCCTAGGCACCATCACTTTAAAAAAAAAACAAACAGAAAAAAAACCCAGGTCAGACTGTTCCAGGAGGTTCCTGGCTGAGATACAGGACCTCCACTTAATTCAGGAGGTGCACAGTCCCACCAGAGGAAAAGCCCTGTTGGCTGAAACATGCAGCCTGGCAGGCCACGTGTTTCAGCGAAAGATGAGGGCCAACCATAGAGACACTCTGGCAGCCAGAGCATCTCCATGGAGGACCCAGCCTCCGGTTGCCTGCACCGCTTTTTTAAATGTTGATTTTTTTAGACCAGTCTAATTTTCTCCCCGTGCTGCAAACTTGCAGCGTGGGGACCTTTTTTTTGTTCCCACACATGCCTGTTGCCCCACCTCAGAGGGGTATGAGGTGGGGCAAGAGGCACGTGTGCACTTGTCTGGATGCGCCCAGTGGGTGCATCTACACATGATGATTTAAAGGCACTTTAGTCATTTTTAAGGTGCGTTAAGGGTATAGGTCTACATGTGCTCACCCTTAATGTGCCTGAAAAATGGCAATTTTAGGCTAATTATGCCTACATTTGATATCTGCATAAAGGCAGCAAACAGTTAAGGCTTCTTAAGGGTCATGTAGATGCCTCAATGCTGTGTGTCAACTGAGTGGGCCAGAGCTGAAGCTATGGGGCCTTACATTACTGATGGGCACTGCCAAGAACAAGCAGCGGGTGCTGTTCTTCATAGTGCAGATGCTGGAGCTGGAGTGGTGGTTCTAGGGCAGTGGTACTCGCTGGTATGCTGACTGATGACTGTGTGCTGGGCACATAAAAAACAAAAAAAACCAAAGCCCTGGCATGAACGTTTGCAGGCCAGGATAGAGTGGTGGCTTCATGCGCTCCCTGCATTGTGCAGCAAGCAGAGGGACTGTGCCATGCTGTTCTGCTCCAGCAGAGGCTGAGGCAGAGGCAGAGGCAGACATTGTGCCCCACATATAGTTGTCGGTTGGCACACCAACAGGTACTGATGCTACTGGAACCACTGCTCCAGCTCTAGTGTCTGTGCCCTGGAGCACACCACCCACTTCTTGGCAGCACCTGGTGGCAGTGTGGGGCCCCATGTGCTTGGCTCCGGCCTGCTCTTGACTGATGCTGGGGAGGCAGGAACATGAGGAGGAGGTTAGACCCAGGGCTGGGCCGATCATGTCCAGGAGACTGGAGGCTCCCGCCCCCTCGGCCAGCACTGGACCGCACTGCCCAGCTATGTTGCCATGGGCCTCAGGGGGCTGCCCACCAGGGCAGTCTGCAAACGCATTTACCCAGTGAGCTGCATTAAGGCGCCTAAAGTAGCTCTAAACATCAGCTCTAAATGTCAGAAAAGGGCTACTGCAATCCTTGGATGTATAAACAGGGCAGAAGCAGGGAGGGGTGTTCAACCCTTTATATAGCACTAATGAGATTAACACGGAATACTGTGGGTGCATCTACATGTGCTATTAGTGCAATACAATAAACTCCAATGCAGTTTGCACCAGAGTTTATTGTTCCCAGGTGCCATGTTTGCATGTGCGCCCAGGACTGCAGCATGCTGAGTCAGGGTAGAGTATCCCTGGCTGGCAGGGGGCTCCAGGGATCATCCTGCCAGCCCAGGGCTGCTTTGACCTGGTTTAATGTGCTGCGGAGGGGCCAGTTGGGGCATGAGGGTGCTCCAGTGTGAGTCTAACTTCCAGTCAGCCCCCTCACTGGAGCACCCTCATGTCCCAACCTTCCCTGTCAGCATCTATATATGTGCTGTGGTGCACTAAGTAACACCACCATAGGCATGGGCAACTGGTGCCTCCTGAGTCTGGGAGGGCACCTGCAGATACTGCTGGTGGTGATGGCGGCAGGGGCAGAGCTGGCAAACACTTGCAGATGCCACTGGCAGTGTAGATGGCACTGATGGCCCTGTTGAGGAGGCAAGTTGAGCACCCGCAGAAGCTGCTGGCAGCAGGAATGGCCCTGTCAGGGGGGGTACATGCCCCTCCATGCCTCCCCTATCAGTCACCTATGGCCATAGTATAGTACTATTCTATGGCAGCATTTATTTCCTGTGCCCTAATAGGGACACACATGTAAATGCTGAGATTTTACTGTGGGCCTAATTAGTCAGCTCCACAGTAAACATCTCACGTAGATGTACCCTGTGTCTAGCTCCAGCATCCATGTTTAAAAAAGGATGTTGGAAAACTGAAGAGAAGGGACTAGAAAAGAGGATATGGGGAAATGGATAAAATACAGCGAGAGACAAATAACTTAGTCTGTCTAGCTTATCAAAAAGGAGAGTGAGCAGTGACTTGTCTGCAATGTATAAGGATTTTCATGGGGAACATATACAGGGTTCTGTTTGATTCTAGTCTAGAAGACAAAGGAATAACAAGAACCAAGATCAATATGTAACTGAAACTTGTCAAATTCAAATAAGAAAGATGCAACAGTTTTTTTTTTAACAGTCAGGGTAATGAACCACTTGAACAAACTTCAAGGGAAAAATGGGATTTTTCATCTCTTGATGGGCTTCAAATCAAGATCAGGTGCTTTTGGGGGAGATATGCCATAGCTAAAATTCATGGGCTCAGTACAGAGGCAACATTAAATAGAGATCATACAGGATACTCTAATAACCCATCTGGTCTTAAAATCTCCAAAAGTACTCAATTGCTTTAATTTGTCACCTGTGCAAGTCAATTTGTGGTAAGACTAGTGGTAGCCATAGAATAGACAGGACTCAAGCATTTGGTGTATAAGGCACAATTTGAGTCCTATTTGCATTACAGCTTGTTTTTTATACTACTATTGATGATGCACTTTGGTAAGGTGTGTGTGGCAGGAAAGAGCAGTTCCATCACTACATGGATCATTAGGTAAAATTCTATATCTTATGCTTTTGAGAGATCACATTAGATAACCACAGTAGTTCTTTCTGATTTGAAAAATCTAGGAGTGGCTTGAGACATACATTTAGTCATACGACCCAATAGCCAGTTAATATGTCACAGTCCACAGAAGCAGACTTCTGTACTAATACATCCAAAAGGGTTAAAGGAAACACAACAAATAGTGCAAGAAAGAAAAATGAGTTTCCAGCTGATGAACACTTTAAATTTCTTTATAATTGTTTAATTCTAGTGCTTTCTTTTGCTCTTCAGTCCTTTACTCTGGGAGATCACACCCACTAACATGGCTTCCACTATCACAGAACGTATGGATCTCCACTCCAGAATTATCCTACTCAGTCTAATCTTGCATCATACTCTTGGTCACTGATTTCACCTTGTTGGATATTTTGCCATCAACTTAAATTGTACTACGGTCAAAAATGAACTCTTATCTTTTCCTATTCTTTATCACTGCTGAACATATTACTATCCTGCCTGTCACTCAATCCTGTAACTTAGGAGTCATCTTTTACTCATCCTACTTGCTTGGACTTATACTCCAACTGCATATAAATCCTTTTGGTTCTCCATGCGAAACATTTTCACACAGTAAATCTCTTGTCAGGCTTTCATTATCTTCTGTCCTGATTACTGGAACTTCCTCCTCTAAGTCTTCTTGATAAGTTAACCAATCCCCACCTGTCTGTGCACACTTTGTTTATATTTCTTACTCACTAATTTAATCACATCTGCTCTTTTTCTGAATCCTGATGTAAAGACCTCCACCCTTACTGCAATGGTCATGCTGCTCTACTGACCTGTATATCTTTTTTGTCCATTTCTCCTAGGAGTTCCCACAGTTCATGCTGCTTGCTCCCAGGAGACCCTTCCTGCAATGTCAGGCCATTACTCCTTGCTCTTTCAAGTGCCTGCTCAAAGCTTACTTCTTCTGCAACACCACTGATAAAAATATCAGCCACAATGACATTTTATTAGCTAATAAAGGTACTTCAGACTTCTTTATTCTATCATTCCAGACATCATTATATTATTGGCACCCCAGTGTACTTACTGGTATAACTGCTACTCATTCTTTTCTATACACTTTCATATTGTCTTGTTATGATTCTGTTATACTGTGTTTGGTTAGGCCTATTTTTAAGCCTTGCACGTAGATCATTTTTAGGAACCTTGCAACAAGCTTCAGTACGGCAATAAGCATTCTGAGGTTACTGGTATAAAATAAAATATGCTATTGATAATCTGAGTTTTGTGGCTGGCACCATCTCTACTCTACCTCAGATAAATAGAATCCATGTGCCCCAGAGACATGTATTGACTATCACAAACTTAAATGGAGATGGCTCTACAACTGTGACAACAGGAAATGAGAAAAGGGAATCCCTATCAATATTGTGATATACCGTGAGAAATGCAACAGGTCTTTACACGCCAGACAGGTGAAAAGGTAGGTAAAAAGTGCAATTGGCCTCAATGGTTTCCTTTTTCCTGAAATGCCTTTCAGCTGTACTGTGTAGCACAATGTTTGTGGAGAAGGTTTATATACTGTGACAAATTCTGGTTACCGCCTTAAGGGTGCTCATCTCTCATGGAAACTCATTTCACATCTCATCAGTTACAGCAATGAGTTGGGGAAACTGATTTCTTGTTTTTCTGAGGTAAGAACATGATGGGTGGATGGCAAAGACTCAGTCCTAGCAGAATAAAGAATTGAAATGAGATCATTAAGCGGATTTTTTTTTAACCTCAATTGGCTGACCCTATTCCATCTTCAATTTTAGAATACCTATCTCTTTCCAGAACAACAAGCAATTGGTGCAGTGGCAACTGAGCTTCATTTTAAATACACCGTAGCAAGTTAGATGAAAGCAGACATAGTCATTTGATTGAAGTATGCTGTATTCATTTTCATTAAAGCATATCACTTTGTTTACCCTTTGAATGGAGTTCAGTGGTGTTTTTAAAGGAGTCACTTACCGAAGAACATGGCTGACAGTCACTTTAAAAAGATACTAATACATACAATGTGAAGTTTACACAGTTGGTTTTGCAGGGTTTCTTGTCAATATGTTCTAAATTTTGAGTCATGTATTCTTGTTGGTTTGAGCTCTGGGCTCAAACTAACCCAAGGTTTTCTTTAATGTCATGTTGAAACCATGTGAAAGCCATAAAAATGTCAAAGATTTCATAGACATTAGGGCTGGAAGGAACCTCGGGAGATCATTGAGTCCAGACCCCTGTCCCAAGGGCAGGAAGTCAGTTAGGGGCAAAGGATCCCAGCAAGATAAGTGTACAAATGCTTTTTAAAGGAGTCCAGAGTAGGTGCTTGCACCAGCTCTGGAGGGAGCTTATTCCAGGCTTTGGGGGCTCGGACAGTAAAGAAGTTTTTCCTTATGTCCTGCCTAAAA